TTTACCAGGACTGAAACTTTTTGAGGGGGCTAAGAGAATATAATTATTATAGAAAATATTTATGGTAGGAAAACAAGCTATCAGATTCTGGCTACAAATGCTACCAGATTGCTACTACTACTACTACCCCATCATGGTAGCAAGAACAAGAACAAGAAGAAGATGGTACTAGCAATTCTGGTAGTAGCAGCGGTTCTGATGGTGGCATTAGCAGTTAAATTGACAAGAGTGCTAGGGAATTAACAGCAAGCCAGCCAGCAGCTGCTCCTTCACCACCAGCTTGAGCAAAGACAATTTTTGGTAGAGGACTGTCGGACAAAAGCTAGCATTTACTGTGGGCCCTTGTTCACCTAAAGATCTMGTWTTCAACTGTTGAAATCCAATGYRCCATAGTCAGATGGCCTTCTCTGAAGKTCTTTTCAGAGTGAAMTTGGTACTTTGTGGCAAGGATTGCAGAACTAAAGGATGAGTTGATTAGTCTTGACAACAGGTTTGATGGTTATCACAGACATCCAAAACAAACTGTTTCATAAGTGTCAATGGAACAGAMTGTCCTGTCTTTGARCCTTCACCCTRGACAAAAACAATGTACTCCCATAAGTTTAATGGGCCAGCTCTTCCAAGTATGAAGTAGGCATTTCTTGAAGACTGGGTGGATTGTTTGGGTGAATGTCCTTTCTTTCTTGGAAGTACAAATGATGCAACAATATTCATTGAGGGACGATAGGAACCCTTATACACAGAGATGAAACTGGTGTAGTAGAAGTTGATAGTAGTGAATATACCAAAGATCCTACTAGATTCAAGCTTCCTGGAATGGGATTAACTAGTAAACAAAGGAAGATGAAATCAAATGCTTGGGCGCAGCAGGAAGCTGTTAATGGTAGATTGAAACAATTTAGTAATGTCCTCACTACTCATTTTACTACTAGACACATGAAGCCAAACAGAGATAGTGCAATGATGAGGAGGCATGGACAATGTTTCAATGCTGTTGCTGTAATTACACAGCTCAAGTTTCAGTCTGGAGCAAGGGTATTTTCTGATGGGCTGGAATACAATGTTAATTATTTCTAGCTCCTTGTTGGAGGAACAACATGATAGCACAGATTCTCTGTAGCACCAAGAGCAGATACATGCATCTACAATTAACACTAGTATTACTAGTAGTATTCTCATTCCTTCTGCAACCAGCAGAGCTGTTCTAGGGTTCCAAGTGGCAGCATGCTACTACTACTAGTACGCAAATAGCAAGATAGTACTACTAGACTCAAAATTGAGCAACTGGCAACAAGGCTACCCCCTTGAAAAAGGGATTTCTGCAGCAAATTGCTGTACAGTTTGTACTAGGAAAGTTGAATTAGATCCATTTTGCTCTCCAATTTGCTCCTTTGGTTGGTTYAACTACTACTGCTACTAGAAACACACTTCATTTGAAGCTGGTCTACTACTGCAAGAAGAAATGCACTCCATGGTGGGATTGAAATTCTAGTCCCCAGAGCAAGCATACCAGCTTTGAAGCTGGTCTTTGTGTATTGCTCTAGTATGATATTACAGCAACTACTGCTGCTGCATCCAGTGTTGCTARAGAGCAACTATTGTTCATTAAGCTTGTTCTTTATGCTTTATTGCTGTTGTGRCATGGAAATAAATGCTACTACKACATCATYAATCTTGTTCTTTGAGAAACTTCTCCTCAATATCATCGAGGTGTGACTTGGTATCATGGAATGCACTGATTGGGTGGGTTCCAGAGGAAGCAATGGAGGAATCAAAAGARTGGAAAGAGGAGCTCTCCTCCATTTGTTTTGTGAGTTTGGTATCAACACCAGTTATTGTTGSCTATTAATCATATTCATGGCATCAGACTTGTTGGGAGGAGGAGAAGGTGGTAAAGGTAACAGCAAAGGTGTCTTGTTAGTTGTTGTTTTAGTAGTCTTCTTCTTCC